TTTTGATTTCTATGCACTACCAAAATATATAGGTATAGATTATTATAGAATCACAGATTTTTAGTCTTGGCTGACTTCTTATAAATTATAAAGTCCAAGCTTGTTTTTTTTTGTTTTGTTCTTCTGTTTTTGTGCATGAGGAAATCAGTCATCTCTCTCGGTTTTTTGTTTTTGTTTTTTGTTTTAAAAGAGTTTTTGCTCTGTGTGCAGGCTGGAGTGCAATGGCACAATCTCAACTCACTGCAACCCCCGTCTCTTGGGTCCAAGCAATTCTCCTGCCTCAGCCTTCTGAGTGGCTGGGATTACAGGTACCTGCCACCATGCCCGGCTAATTTTTGTATTTTTAGTAGAGATGAGGTTTCACCATGTTGGCCAGGCTGGTGTTGAACTCTTGATCTCAGGTGATCCATCCACCTCAGCCTCCGAAAGTGCTAAGATTACAGGCATGAGCCACCACACCCAGCCAGGAAATCAGTCCTTTCTCTACAAGCCACTAAGCTACTTGAGACAAGGAGTCATACTCTTAAACATTTCCTTTCATACATAAAGCAATGACTTTAGTTATTCCTGCATTTTTGGTAGCACCTGGTGCATGCAAGATAGATTCCCAAATGTTAGTTGAAAGAATTGCTTCATGGAAATCAATTTCACTAGGTGTATATTTAGAACTAAACATTATGTGGATAGTCTGTGCTCTTATTTTTGGCTTCTCACCATCTCACAAGTGGCCCGACCACCTACAGCTACCTTACTAGCTCATTTTGTTGAATCTCCTTCACTTTAGATCCAATTCTTATTTCCTGTTCATTCTTTTGCAATGGCATTCTGAGCAGCCTGAGCAGCCAAATGGGCAGGTGGATACCAGCTCTTCTTTGTGAGAAAATCTCTAATTATATTGTATCTTTGCTGTTCAAATCTATGATGCCCTTTATTATCTAAAAAAAGATTTGTGTTTTTATTTCGCTTTTTGGGAGCCAAGGATGGTTTGGTTCAGTAGCCTGGAAAGGAGAAAACAGTGAACACCAGACTAAGGAATTTTCTCTTGGCCAATCACTAGGAGAAACTCCTTAGTTTCAATCTGGATTGCAAGGACTGAGTGTTAAACCCTTCCTCATTTATTATTTTCCAAGTCTTAGAAACAAAATGATATACTAGAGACAGGATTTATCTCTAGTTCCCTAGGCCTCCAGTGATAATAACAGGGTTGAGGGAGGAAACCTGAGTACCTCCAGGCAGGTGCTCAGTTCCAATCAGCTACTTTCTGTATATTTAGAGCATAGTCCAGATACCATGGTTTGGATTTATTGCCATGACTGTATGGTCAAGCCTTGCTCTTTCAGACATATTGCTCCTAGGAAACATGTGCATCCAGAGTAAAATCAATGGTTTTTGAAAATTTCTGATTTTGCCTTACTATTTTGTAAAAAAGAAAGTCAAGAGAGACTCGGAGAAGTTATTTGGTTAGGTCGTTCAATTGGGACTGATAATGACAAATCTGGGACTGAAATTGGCTATGCCCTCTCTTTCATGTCAGCCTTTCGATAACTGTCTTACTCTTTCACTTTCTCATCCAATATTTGGAGTGACTTCATGTCCATCTAGATGACTCATCTTGCATCTGAGCCCCTTATTCCTTAAATTCTTCATCTGCTGTGACTTTGGCACTGATCCCACTTCTATCACTCCCTCCCATGGAGCATCTCATCATCTCTAACTGTCCACCTCTGAAATATCTTGGTCCCTAAGTACAGACTTTGTTTTTCTTTTATTCATTTAGTTCCTCCTTCTCTGGTCCTTAATGGTATATATAGGGGCTTTTTGTTCCCTTTGTGCCTTTATTTTCTCATTTTTAACCCCCTGCCCCAACCGTGTTCCCTTCCTTCCCCATTGGTTAGATTCCATGACCCATCTAGTCAGCCACTCTTTTTAAACTAATATCCTCAACTCCTTTTATTTATTGTTGCTTTTTTGCACTTATCTGACAAAAATGCAACTCTGAACATGTTTGCTTTCTTCACGCTTCCATAAGGGCTGATAAAAGCCAATGGAGAAAGGCAGATTGATGACTTCATAACAGTAGTTCTCAAAGTGTGACCCCAGACCAGCAGCATCAGTATAATTTAGGAACGTGTTACAAATACAAATTCCTAGAGCCCCCTTCAGCATACTAAATCAGAATCTCTCAGAATGGGACACAAGAATCTGTGTTTTTACAAAGTTCTCTAAGTAGTTCTGATACACTTTAAAGTTTGCAAAATACTATATTAATTCTTGATTTTTAACCTTAACTGACTACTAACACTGCCAATCTTTATATGTTTTCTCAATTAGTAATCTTTAGTGTTTTCCATAGGAGCCTTTTCATATCTTTTTCATTCTCCTCAAATCCGTGATAGTGCCCATCTCTCCTCATTCCCCAGAGGTTATCACTCTCTGACTTATCTTAGTTTGTGCTTGAACTCCCTCAAACTCCTGCCACAACATCCTCAGACTAACCATAGTCACTTGCAGTGGAGGAGTCTTCAGTTATATATACTTGTGTTCTGGATTCCTTTCCTTTCAGCATTGGGGAACTTTTATCTTTCTCTTCACCAAGTTCTCTCTCTCTACTGGCATCCTTCACCTAATCTCATCACAACTTACATTCACATTCTTTGGGATTTTGATTCTATGTGTGATGAAAAACATTGTAGGGTTTTAAGCAAGGAAATGGCATTATCTGACAGATAGTTTATAAAGATTTTTACCCTTCTTCTGTGGAGACTGGGTTGCATGAGGCAAGAGTTGAAGCAAGAAAACCAGTTTAGATATTATGGAAAATCTGAAGAGCAGGGATGGTGGCTTGGGTCATGGTACTTGTCGTGGAGTTGTAACTAACTTTGGGGGCGTGAGTTGGAAGTAGAATTAAAGATAAAGGTGGTGGTCAAGGATGATCTTAATCTTTGGTTTTAATAACTATGTTAATGGTGATGCTGTTTACCAGAATAAGGAAGCCTGGGAAAGAATAAAATGACTGGAAAAAAATCAAGACTGTTTCTGGTCTTGTTAAGTTTCAATTGTTTATTGGAGATCTGTGTGGTGATAGGCAGCTAAACATTTGACTCTAGAGTCCCATGAAGAGATCAGGGATAGAATGTGAATTTAGGAATCTTGGCCTATAAGTAATATTTAACACTCTAGTATTTGATGAAGACACCTTGGGACAGGGTGTAGAAAGAGAAGATGGCCTATGACAAAGCCCTGAGCTACCCTAATATTTAAAGTGGGAGCATGGAGGGACAATTTCTAGTACAGGAAACTGAGAATGAGCAACTGGTAAATTAGGAGAATTTCTCAGAAGATTGAAGTGGTCAGCTTATGCAAAATTCTGCTGAGAAGTAAATTAAAATAAGAACAGAGAAGTAACCATTGTAAATGGCAACATGGAGGCCTCCAGAGAGCTCAAGGAGTATAGTCACAGTGGAATCCTGACAGCAGAGGTCTGATTAGAATGAGTTGAGGAAATCATGTTGTTGAATTAGTCCTGCCGAATCATGTAGTCCTGCCTAAGGAGAAGCTGGGACATTTGTTTGTTCTTCACTCTAATCCTTAATCAACAGATTCCTGAAATCAATATCAGTCTCAGAACAGGTGCTTAAGTTCTGCAAACTGATACAGACTTTCATAGAAATAGGGGTGGTTGTTAAAAGCTCATATTTGAAAAGTTTAAATGAAGGTGCTGGCTGAGCACGGTGGCTCACACATGTAATCCCAGCACTTTGGGAGGCCGAGGTTGGTGGATCACTTGAGGTCAGGAGTTCGAGACCAGCCTGGCCAACATGGGGAAAACTCATCTATTTTAAAATTACAAAAATTAGCTGGATGTGGTGGCAGGTGCCTGTAATCCCAGCTACTCGGGAGGCTGAGGCAGGAGAATCGCTTGAACCAGGGGGGCGGAGGTTGCAGTGAGCCAAGATCATGCTACTGCACTCCAGCCTGGGTGACAGACTGAGACTCTGTCTCAAAAATAATTAGTTAATTAAATAAATAAACAAAAAATCATAAAGGTGCCATGAATTTTAACAGAGCTGGCATGTTAAAAGTCAATATAGAATCTATACAATTCAGCTGTCTTTGAAACTTGATAAAACAACCACCCAGACAAAATGAGTTAAGTAACAAAAGGTACAGTATTAAAACAAACTGGAATTGGATTTTTACCTGGGATAAGCCAAGTTTAATATGATCAGTCCATAGATATTTGGAAATTGGCAATATATACACACAAACTTGCCCGCATATCATTTTTATTAGTTCAGTCCTTTGAGATAGTATATTTAATTTCATGCTTGATAAAATATGAGAAATAACATCCTCATCAGCATACATTTACCAAGTCCGTGATGTGGTTATGCAGGAAAGGACGTCTGGAAATGAGCAGTATAACGATTACAATATTAGGAAAATACAACTTGTAAAGAAGAAGGTCTTAGCCAAATTCCCAACTCATAATAACTGATTATCAGGCAGTACAGGAATTAAAAATGGTGAACACGCCATCTACCAAAGTGTCATCTTAGGGAGCACACTGTAGACAAGACTGTTGGCCACAAAAATAGTATAAATAATTATCATCAGTTAGTAACCCAGGTATCTTCCAGTATATTGTAGTTTGTTACCAGGATATTATGTCCACATATAGTTCACTTGTAATCGTATAAATGCAAGGTTCCTTTTGCAATGGAGCATTTTGGAGAGAATCTTTCACTTCGGACTTTAAATATACCTAATCACTTATATAATATTTATTTTCCTCCTTCATTTAGACCTTTCTATTTTAAGTTAGCAATTAAGTATTGAGCACTTATTATGTGCAAAGCACTGTACTTGTGTTCCCTTAAATATATGCATATAAGAGAAGTAAGCCCCAAATGATTTAATCCTTATTTTAGAATGAATGAGTTGCTAACATGCTAGTGTTGTTACCCAAAGGGTGTGAATACCAAATGTTTCGTTCCTACCAGCTCATGACCCCCATCTTCATCGAAGTCCTCCTCTATCCCATCTGTCATCTCTTCTCCATCAGCATCTGGCCCTCCTTCAGCAGGCTCCTCTGTAGAGTGATCTGCAATCTCTGACACACATTCCTCTTGGATCAGCACTAGACTCTCTTCCAATTGCTTCTTCTGAGCTTCTGGGGGGGAAAAAGCAAATGACTACTACCTTGGGTTGCTCATGAGCCATTTGGATAAACCATGAAAAAACAGTGCATGAAAGGGTAAACTCTATATGCTATTAAAGGTGTACAGAAGGTAAGGTAACATTATGCTTTAAGTGATTTTTTTCAATCATGTACAGTTTTCTATGTGCACTTACATGTAAGCATATTTAACAGAATTAGCAAAAATTAGGGAATCCAGATGGTAGTAGTACATAAATTAGTAAGATTTACATAAACAGATTGATTTTTCTGGCTACTTTATTTTATATATAGTGCTTTCTAAAAAGGATGGTCTTTCTGAGAGGAAAATAGAGCAAAAACAAATGGCAAAAATCAGACTCATCATAGAAATTGTTCACTCAAGGAAGCAGGATGGAGAAAATTCATTGACAAGTTCAAACCTAAGTGAAAAAGACAAAGAAAAACTCACTGAGGAAAAAAGTACAAAAGCAAATATGTTGTTTTTTCAAAAAACATGTCTATGTGAACAATACCCTGAAAATTTAAAGTCTAAATTCTGTTGACAGATGTGGTTAACTTCAATGGTTAAGAACATAAATTCTGGGGTCAGACAACCTGGGTTCAAAGTTGAGCTTCATCACCTAATAGCTTTGTGATGCTGTTCAAAGTCAAAATGATTAACCCTCCATGTGTCTTAGTTTTCTCATCCATGCAATAAGGACAACAATTTCCTACACTTTCAGGGTTTGGTGTAGTGAACCAAAGTGTTAGTATAGTGACTTGCAAATAATAAGTGCTCAACAAACAAAGCTACACTCTACATTAGTAGAATTTCTTCTAGTTGTCAGGATCTGTGCATTCCATTCACAGAAACCTGCTCAAATGGAAAGTGTGCTGACAGTATCATAATTATTTCCTCTAGTGGGTGGTATTCATTTCCTATGATAATATAAAGAAATGTTGGGCATCTAATAAATTAGATCGTCGTATGTTCCTCCTTCTCTACCTTATTTCCATGTGTTCATGACTATTCCAAAGTTGGTTGTTTTCACTAATTTTGCTGGGTTTTTAAAAATCAGATTATTAATCTATCCTTTGATCTGAGTTTTTAAATAGCCTAAATTTTGATAATTCATTACAATAAAGGTAGTTTATAGAGCTAAATAACTTTAGGGTATTCATTTCTGGTCTTTTTCATAATGTGAGATTAAAGGAAAACGAGCACTGATATAAACATTTTGTCTCAGCACGAAACTTTTCAAACAACTAATATGTAAATTAACAAACTGATAGAAATATAACGTACAAATAAGCAAATAAGCAGGTATTCTTTCCAAGAAATTGTTTACAATTAAAATAATTTTATAAATAAATGTGTATCTATACCTTCTTGCATTTTAATTCTCCAAATGATAAAGTTTATTGAAAATAAGACAGTAGTAGAGGGTTGTTTTGCCTTGCCTCTGTTGTCAAAGTTTAGTTACTCTGAGCTCTAGTTGACAGGATTCTAGCTCTAGCTTTGTTACCTACCCACTGAATTATAGACACTGAGTTTGAGTCTAAGTTTTGGCCATTTGGTCAGGTCAGGTCATTTAAACAGATTAAGTCATTCTTTCTTCATCTATACCTACCTCTGGGTTTTACTGTGAGAATTAGCAGAGCTTGTATTTGGGAAATGTTCTGCAAATTATAAAGGACTACATAAATGTGTTCCGTGTTCTATTAGACACAAAAGGGAGACGGTATGCTCTTACTGTATGTTGAAGGAATAACAACAGTAAGCGTAGATCAAGAGGCCTGTTCAGATCAGAGAATAACACTCATGGGGCTGAGCCTCTGTTTCAGAGGAGGAAAGGAGCTGGTGGATCAAACCAAAGCTGCAAATAATTACTATGGGTATCATAAATGACCAAAACATAGGCTCCCTTTCATTAAGAGAAAGACATTTACTTCATATAAATAGACACAAGCTATACACGTCTTGATGTTTTTAAAATCAACTTATTAGGTTCAAATTTATCCATTTAACAACATTACTAGTGCAGTAAGGATGTGAACTCTGCTTTTAAAACTGTACTTTTTATCTTGATATGCATATACAGATGTACTGATGGAAGGAATATATGGTATATAAATTCTTCCCATTTTTCCTAATGTCTATATAACATTTAGCACAGAAAGTCCTGTGAAGACTATAAAGTGATTATTGTAAAATATAACCAAGATTTTTTCTAAATACAGAAAATTATCTAATTTAAGAAGGTAAAAGTGAGTTAAAGAAAAAAAATCTGTTTAATCTAGAGAAGACTCAGTTGTCTGAATTAAAAGGAAGGTAAATAAGGCAAGAAAGACCAAAAACACTCTCAATTTTACTCTTACTGATTATTTCTAGGTTTTATTCTCATTTTCCTTCCAGATATCATTCATTGTGCTCTACAATTCTAGATCTGCAACCTAGGTCAACCCACATACACATCTATGAGTAGGCTCCACTGAGAAAACGATGTGATAGGTCGACTAGCTCGAGCACTGGACAGTTTTGAGTCCTCTACCAATAATCACATCTCTTGTTCTATTCTGTTGCCTCTCCTATCACTGATCCTTTGACTGCACGATGGAGGTGGCTACTCTGGTTTTGGCCCCCACTCTTCCTCCTAAAAAAGGTTTTTGTACATATCATCTAAACCCCTCACCTCTTGCCACTGTATGTCACCATTCCACTTGTTTGAAATGCCCTAGCTTTCAAGACCTGGTGCTGGTACCTCAAGAAAGAGGGAGAAATAGAAATTTGGGATTCTTATAATTCTATGCAGTGAAAAATGCTTTGAATCTTATAATTTTTTTAAAACCAAACGTTCTCAATGTTAGGTTATTGTGTTTATCAAACCAAACGTTCTCAATGTTAGATTATTGTGTTTATCTTTTTGTTACAACACATAAATGGACTTTTGCTTAAGACTGACAAATATGAGGAATTCAACTGGCCTAGCATATCCATTTCTTCTCTCATGATTCCAGAAACATTTGGTTTTTGAGAACGCTTATGTTTTGATTTTGAAAGTAACATATACGTGTGTGTGATATATATATATATAATATTTATATATAATATATATAATTTATATCACACACAGACACACACACACACACACACACACATTATATATATAATTTTTTCTCTAGAAGATCTCTGGCCAAGGAAGCATAGCAGATTTTCAAAGGACCCCTGTAGGACCCGACTTTAAAGATGCATAGTCCTCATCTGGCTTCATATATCGATTTGTTTCAGCTTGTGTCAGGAAAGCTGACTTTCCTGATCTTCCCAGCTGAATGTAATCTTTCCCTCTTTGATCAACCAAGGCCCTGATCAAATGCTGTCTTATAGTTAGTTCTATTTTCTTATCTTTTCATTAGTGTTTAAGCTTCCTGGAAATTTGAGCTATTGCCTCAGAAGATCGTTGTCACACTAAAAGGGGATGATATAGAGGTTCATCTTTTGTAAACTGAAAAGCACAATACAAGTCAGTTATCAAAACATTTTGTTGTGCTCTGTAGCCCTCACTAAATGCCTTGCACATGAAGAGGTAAGGTATCAGGAAGGATATAGAGTTTGAGATCCATACTTCTGCTAATTACTAGTCCTATTAATTGTGGTTTTCTTCTCTAAAAGGTAAGCATGAAAATAACATCTATTTCAGAGAATTGCTGTGTGCTCTAATGAAGAAAAAGATGTGAATGTGTTTTTTAGACTGCAAAGACCACACAAACGTGTTATAACAGGTTCAAAACAGTTCTTGAGTTGAATCTATATTTATTTCTTGATTGCTATAGACACATTTCCCATGTCAAACTTATTTACCCCTACTGATCATTAAGAATCAGGCACTACAAAGATTATTTTGAATTTTGGTTTCAAAATGGCCTTTTTAGTTCTATGTTTAGACAGGCATAGTCTAGTACTGATACAGTTTGGCTGTGTTCCCACCCAAATCTCATCTTGAATTGTAGCTCCCATAATCCCCATGTGTTGTGGGAGGGACCCTGTGGGAGATAATTGAATGATAGGGGTGGTTTCCTCCTAGTAAATAAGTCTCACAAGATTTGATGGTTTTATAAGGGGTTTCCCGTTTCTCCTGACTCTCACTCTCTCTTGCCTGCTGCCATGCAAGATGTGCCTTTCATTTTCTGCTGTGATTGTGAGGCCTCCCCAGACACATGGAACTGTGAGTTCATTAAACCTCGTTTTTAAGTTAGCCAGTCTTGGGTATGTCTTTATTAACAGCATGAGAACAAACTAATACAGTACATAGTACATAGACACAGTTACTCTATTTTTTGTATTAATATACAACATACATGTGATTCTGATGTATTTCAAAGGCACGGGTATATTAATACAGTTCATTGCAAAAAATCTTATATATTATTCTCATCATCCAATCATTAACTTGAAAGCTAAATGCTTGGAAGTCATTATCTGAGTTGAGCAAAAAAAAAAAGCTTTAATTATAATGGTAATTGATTCATAGGAGTTTAACAAATACAATCAGCCTGTGCGTTAGTAATAGGTAGTGAACATAGCTTTTGTCATCTCAATGGGAAATATTATAATCACTAAACAATGATAGGTTCCATGAATAAAATCACACATGAAAGCACATCTTCTTTATTAAACTGTTGGTTCACAGTTTAATAGGCAGTTTTGATTCAGTAATTATGTTGCTGAAATGGAGATAAAGCAACTTTTTCTTTTTTTTTTATAAATAATTATCTAATTTTACTTTTCTTAGAGATGAGTAATGTTGTTTATTCTTAACTTTATACAATTCTCTTTATTTGCATAGTTATTTTTCTAGTCATCACTCTTTATTGTCAATGTGAGTGTGTGAGTGTGTATGTGTGTTTGTGTGTATGTGCATTTCTCTCTCTGCCACTAAAGCTTCTTTGAGGCAGAAACATTTTTATTATTCATCTTTGTTTACCTGGTGGCTAACTCAGACCCTTAATCACAA